TTCTTTTGTTTTTGTGATTAACCCTGTTCTCTCATATGGACGCATTCTCCATGTGAATGTGTTTCAACTTTTCCTACATATACGAGTTGTTCCGTGTTGGTCTCGGAACGGAGAGTGTCAAGCGGAATGTTTTTTTTTTTCTTTTTTGTTTTGTTTTGGAGTAAATAAAACAAATATACACGTTTGTATATGTAGAAAAACGAAAATACTTGAAAGCATGTATTTTGTATATATGTATATTTTTCGGAGTTAAAGGTACGTATATATTTTCTTTTTTCACATCTCTTTCTTTTCAAGGTTGTTCTTCACGGCAAACAAGAGAATTACAAAGATAGTAAGACCAAGGTAACAAAAAAAAAAAAAAAAAAAAAAAAAAAAAAAAAAAAAAAAACAAAAAAAAAAAACGAGATATTCATCAAGAGGGCATGGAACAAAATATGCTTAAACGCAGGATTGTTCAAGCATATGATGATGAACATCGAGAGGATACGAATTTTAGAGAGAAAAAGAAGCCAGAAGTTACCACATCTACAAGTACTTCTTTTTTCACATGGGATATTATTCAAATCGTACTTGTACATTGCGTTGCAGGTCTCTTTTTTGGATATAATATTGGTCTTCCTGGTCCATACTATACATTTGTTAAGATGAGCTTTGATTGTGTATCTACTACATCAGAAATTGCTTGCACTTCACTTAATCATGATCACTGTGCTTGGAAGGAGAATATGTGTGTTTTTGCTGAGGATAAATGTTCTAGCCTTTTAATTATGGATTGCGATGGAGAAGCTGATCGTTTCCCATATAAGTGTATGTGGGATGCTAAAAGGAAGAAATGTCAGCGATTACCTGGTTATACTTCTATACAAAATGGGATATTCGCTGGAGCATTAATAGTTGGTGGTTGTATCGGATCTATGGGGGCAAGTACTATTCTTTCCTATTTGGGAAGAAGAAAAACTTTTTTATTATGTGGTATTTTGGCAACTTTTGCATCTATATTAACTCATACTTCAACGTATACCGATCAATATATAATGGTTATAGCTGGACGTGTCATTGCAGGTATTGCCGCAGGAATATTATGTGTTGGTTCTCCTATGTATGTAGAAGAGATGGTACAACGACCTTATCGACAAATTGTTGGTGTATTTTTTCAAATTGCAACTACATTAGGTATTCTTCTTGTTGCAACAATGGCATTTGCATTAAATCCACATGATTTCTCAGTTAATATACATATGCAAATACGTCGACAAGGACTTTGTGCATTTTCCACTTTTTTCAGTATATTGGTAATTGTTACCGGTTTCTTTATGAAAGAAAGTCCTTATTGGATAGAACAAGTTGTTTGCAATCGAGGTTTAAGTGAAGATGCGGATTCTCTTAGAAACCCTTTAAGTGCATCAGTAGTGGAAGTTGATGCTATTACTCTTGATAATACAAATGATCCAGGAAGTTCAAGACCATCATGGAGTAGTATGACTCTTCCTTTATTTACAGCTTTTGTTATGTGTATTGCACAACAAATGACAGGTATTAATGCGATTATGAATTATGCTCCTACTATTACCGCTGTAATGGGACTTGCTCCTCTTACAGGAAATTTTATTGTTATGGCTTGGAATTTTGTTGCCGTTCTTATTTCTATACCAGTTTCATTAAAATATCAAGCAGACTACACTTATATTTGCGCAGTTTTTGTTACTTCACTCTCTTGTTTGCTAACTGGTATTCCATTACTTCCTGCTCTTGACCTTGGAGACACATTAAAACGTGTTCTCTCAAGTACTGGTATTGCTATTTTTATAGGTGTTTTTGAGATTGGAATGGGAAGTTTTTTCTGGGTACTTTCTCAAGGAATTTTCCCTCTCAATTTTCGAGATCGTGGGTCTAGCTTTACTGTACTTAATCAATTTCTTCTTAATATATTAATTAATGTAGGATTTCCAATTGCTGTTGAGAAGATATCAGGTGGGTCTTCTTCTGATCAAGATAAAGGAATGGGAGTTGTCTTTATTTTCTTCGGATGTGTTGGTCTCCTGTCCGGTGTTTACCTTTCTATATTTTTGCGTTTGAGGGAGGTATGATATATATATCTTCAATTAGTAATGGATCATGAATTCTTATGCATGTATCCCTTACTTAAATGACATGTTTTTATTGCCTTTCTGACAGTTATTATGTCTTCTTCAGCCTCATTTTTAGTACATTTCTTTTTATTTTTATTATTTTTTCCCCTCTTTTTTCTCTTTCTCTCTTTGTATTTGGGGGAGTTGGGTAAATGAGGGATGAAAGTAATAATCTATACTTTGATATAGAGGGGAAATGTGTACAATGACATGGGAAGATTCTTTTTTTTTTTATTTGTGCGTTCTTCAGTTTTTTTTTGTTTTAGCTTGTTTTTTTTTTCTTTAGTGGTTCCTTTTTTTTTAAAAAAAAGAAATTCAGCGAATATAAGGTTATTTTCAATCCTACACCATGGTTTAGATTCCAACACTATCGTTCTTATGCTGTTTTTTTTATTTATTTATTATTATCCTATTTGCTACTGTACTTTAAATCAATTCTTTTTCTTCTTGGATTCCTCTCTTCTTTTCTTTTATTGTTATTACTATCATTTATAAAAAAAAAAATAAAACCCTCTAAAAATAAAATAAAAAAGTAAATAAGAGAAGATAGGGAGAAGGTAGTACACACACACACAGAGAGAAAAGAGAAAAAAAAGATGGATGTAGTTGATGCCAGTGACACTCTAACTGATCAAGGGAGCCAGGAGGAAAAGAAACAATCTTCTCCTATTTGTATTTGCGTGCGTTTTGATGCTAATCCTATAGATACAGCGGATAATGTATTCCGTGGTGTTCGGGCGTTTCATTCACCCTCAGAGGTTGTGGTGCCGCTGAAGGGGATGTTACTTGAAGACATAACATTAGACGATTTACTCACTGAGTTTATGTCTCGTGCAATAAGACGATTTCCACGTTTATCAATACGTACTGTGGATTCATTCTATTTAAATGTAGAAGGATTACCTATGTCTATTGATCGATTATCAGAGCAGTCCCCACTTATACGCTTGGATGTGAATATGAATGGACAAGATACATTAGATAATTTTTTCGCACCACCTCTTACTACTGGACCCACAGTGTATGATATAACAGCACATTGGCTTTCTAATATACCAGGAGCTACGAATTTTAGCCGTAATGCTGCTGAAGAGTCTTCACTGTCAAGAGTTCTTGTAGAAAAGAAGAAGAAAGAGTCCGATAGTGCTATTAATGTTGCAGAGGAAGAGGGTAATAATGAAACTGAAAATGGAAATGAAAATGGCAAATGTGATTTTGCTGAAGAAACTTTACCAGCTCCAGTTGTTTATCCTTTTACACAACGTTGCACATACGCAAAATTATGGCCACGTACCTCCGAGTCAAGTGGTGAAGTTCTTGCTTCTATGGAGTTAGCCACTTTACGAGCTGCGGCTCTTACAGCAACTCTAACCGAAAGAGAAGCTGCACGTAAAGAACGTTGTAAACTTGAATCTGAAGAACAAGCGTCTCGTAGACTTCTTATGGGAGATGAACGGGAAGCACGTCGTACAATAGCGGAAATAGAAGGAGAAGGAAGAGAACAAGTAATACGACTTTTACGTTTGATGCCAGATGATGTACTACCACCTGGTATCAGCCCAGTGAGTAGTCCTAAATGTTACCGCCGTTATCCAATGGATACAGAACCACTTTTTCCACCTTACTCTTCATCCTATAAGGAAGAGTTAGCGCAACGTGTGGAAGAAACTGCATGGCTTTCTCATGTTTTTGCATCTACACCTATTGTTGGTTCAGCTTTAGTAGTGGCGAAGGAAAGTAAGAAGAAAAACCAAAAAAATGATAATCGTAATAATATCAATAATATTGGTACTGGTACTGCTTCCTATGCTTCTGCAGGTAATGCTGCTGCTGCTACTAGAGGTGGTTTAGATGCTGTATCATCAGAAGTCGACGGTAAAAATGTTAATAAAAGTGAAATGGATGATGAAGTAGAGGATGAATATTCTGCAGCAATGGAAGATCTTATTCAACACTACGCCGATGTACGTCGTGACTTATTGCTTTGGGAGAGACAGACATTTCGAGCTCTTACAACGGAAATGCTTCTTATATTGGAAAAACAAAAAAGACTTGACGAAGAAATATTACGTACCGCATTTCATGAAGAATTGGAAAAAGGAGGAGTACTTGACTTTGATAATTACGCCGTTCACTATGAACAGCAACATGCACTTACTCAGAAAGAAAAAACGCCAGATACTAAACCAAATGATACTTCTCAAAGTAATGTAACCCATCAGAGAGAAACATCACCCGTTTTGTTAGAATCTTTTGGAGTATATAGGGGTAAAGAAATGAAGGAAGAAGACTTTAAAACAGAAGCGAAATCAGTAGATACAGAAAAAACGGGTATAACAGGGGAACCCACGATAACCATACCTCCTCGTCCACGACCACGATCACCTCGATCGTGTTTGGCAGATGATGAAAAGTTTCACCAGGCGATAGAAGAAAGTAAGGCGCGTGCGAAAGCTATTCTGGAAACTATCGCTCTTATCGATATGCGGTGGCATGAACCTGTTTCCTTTAAGCTTGCTAAACACCGTTTTATATTAACAGAAAAGGATGAACGAAAAGTAATTTTAGCGGATGAAAAGAAAGAATGGACTGAACTTGTAAAGTTTGCAAAAGAAAGGGGTCTTGATTTGGAAAGTAGAGAACTTCTTTCCTACTTGCGCCTTATAGAACCTGTTGTAAACGGAGAGCAAGCAGAAAGAGATATTCTTAATGAGCAACAAGAACGACACATAGCATTGCTTTTTTCGTTGTATTATCGTGGTGTAGAACGGATACAAGCATTGTTGCGCCAAAGAGAATAAATACTATGTATAGTGGATCTTATTGTTATCCCTTTGTTTTTTTTTTTTTTTCTTTTATCCTTATATTAAAAAAAAGAAAATTGTGTTTTTTTTTATTTGCTTTGTTTCAATTTTTTTTCGATTTTTTTTTTTTTGTTTTTGACGATGTATAGCGATGCATGTTATTCACACGTGGATTCAAAATTCATTGGAATCTTGTTTTTTTTTTTTTGTTTCACTATTGTTCGTGATCTTCTCTGATGCTCGGGTATTTTTTTTTTTTTTTTCTATTATATTCTCCTCTTGGAGGAGAAGAGGGACTTATGATAGGGAATAAAAAACCGAGTATGGCCCATCACACTTTAACTAATTTGGAGAAGAAAAGAGAAGTATATGGGAGTTACAGAGAAATATGACGATGAAGAGAGTGATGGGGGGAAAATTGGCACTGTTTCCCTCTGAGTTTATTATTATTTATTTATTTTTTTCTTTTTTTTTTTTTTGTATGTGTGTGAGTGTGTTCACGTGTAGCTCCCTCTCTATCTCTTTCTTTCTGTGTGTATACACAGTATCCGTATGTTCACCTGCTTTCNTTTTTTTTTTTTTTTGTCTTTTTTATTGTAGTTATGGCGTCTCGGCGCGTCTTTACACCCATGTTGGCTTTGCCACTGAGCAGTAGCTATTATTGTGGATGCGCCGTGGGAGTTGGTTTTCCACCTGCAGGCATTCGAGTATCGCGTACTGCAGTGCTGGGGTTAACATCATGGAAGCATTTGTGTTATGATAATAATAGTATCCATCACCCTATTCTCTCTTCTTCTCGAACTTTTGTTAACTTGGCAGATAGAAAAAAAATGACGTCACCAGAAGAAATGTCTGAAAGTCTTAAGCTTATTGTTGGATTGGATGATAAGAATGCGAAGGATTTATCCACAAAACCAGAACGTGTGGAAGATCTTCTTGGCTTCTTTAAAAGTCAAGATATAACCCCTGAATCTCCTCGTGAACAGAAGGTTATGCTATTTAATATATGGACCAAAGTCAAGAACCTTAATCATCGTGATTTTGTCGCTAGATATGTGAAGAATATGAAACTTGATTCCACACAAAAAGTTGATGCTGCTATAAGGTTTGTAAGTGCTATAAAAAATACTGATGCAGTTGATACTGAAAAATTTGAAAAGGAATGTGGAGTCGGTGTAGTTATTACCCACGATGAAACAGTACGTCTTGTGAAGACTGCTCTGGAAGAAGAAGACCTAAAGTCACTTAAGGTGTCATGGATGAAGAATCCAAATATGATGCTCGGTAAGATGAAACGTGTACCAGGACTTCAATGGGCAGATATTAATGTTGTAAAGTCAACTCTTGAAGAGTTGGTTCCACCTATGATTAAGGATGTTGTTATTGAAGAGACTGGTTCAAAGACAAAACATAAGGATCCTGTTGCAGGAACATCAAATACTACTGGTGCTGCTGCAACAATACGAAAATGTCCTCGAAATGAAAACTGGAAGCTTATCGCAAATGGACTTACACGTAGTAAAATCAGTGATCTTCCATCATGTAAGGAAGGTACAAAAGTATATGTGATTGGATGGGCCCATCGAGTTCGTCATCAATCTCGTATTTCTTTTGTAGAGTTACGTGATGGTTCTGGTTTTATTCAAGTGGTATTTGAGGGAGCGACAGAGCCTTTTCATCGTGAAACATCACTTGCTATTCGTGCTACATTAAAGTATGAACCTAAAGCAAAGGTGGATTTACAACCACCATATGAACTTCATGTGGAAGAGTATGCTATTATTGGAAATTCTGATGGTAGTATTGAAAATATCATTACTGCAGAAAGTTCTCCTGATAAACTTTTGGACGATCGCCATTTGGTGGTTCGTGGAACATATGGATCTACAACGTTAAAGGTTCGTCATGAAGTTCTTCGTGCTTTCCGTGAATACTTTTGGTCATTGGATATGTCTGAAGTGACACCACCTACACTAGTTAATACACAATGTGAAGGAGGATCTACACTTTTTGATGTTATGTATTATGGGAAAAATGCCTACCTTACACAATCTTCACAGTTGTACCTTGAAACATGTACCTCTGCCTTAGGTGATGTTTATTGTATTCTTCCCAGTTACCGTGCTGAAAAATCCAAGACAAGACGTCATTTAAGTGAATATACACACCTTGAAGCTGAATATGCCGTATGTAACTATGAGGATCTTTTATCTCATCTTGAAGATCTTCTTGTGGAAGTTTTTAACCGTGTTATTAAGCGTGTTGGTCATCTTGTTGCCTTTATGAACCCTGGAGAGTTGGTGGATGCATCAGCAGACCCTTGTGATCCAAAGAGCTGGAAGTTTGCACCTAAAAAACCATTTAAACGTCTCAGGTATGGAGATGCCATTAAATTCTGTAATGAAAATGGTATTATAAATCCAGAAACAAACGCTCCATTTCAATTTGGTGAAGATATCACTGATCAGCCAGAGCGGGCGATGGTGGAGAAGATTGGTGAGATTGTCTTTATGACTCACTTCCCTGCAGTAATGAAGTCTTTCTACATGTCTCGGGATGAACACGATCCAACCCTCACAGAGTCTGTGGATATTCTTGTACCTGGTGTGGGTGAGATTGTGGGTGGCTCTATGCGTATGTGGGACTATGATGAACTCCTGCAGGCCTATCAGCGTGAGGGACTCGATCCCAGTACATACTACTGGTATACAGATCAGCGTAAATTCGGCTCTACTCCTCACGGTGGATTTGGTTTGGGCGTGGAGCGATTTCTGGTGTGGCTGCTCAATCTCGGCTCTGTGCGGGAGGCCTGTCTGTTCCCACGATACATGGGCAGGTGCGAGCCGTAGAGGATTTTAGTTCCACCAGAAAAAAGAAGAGGAAGAGGTAGAAGAGGAAGAACAACAAAGGAAAGAAAAAAAAAAAAAGAAAGAATAAAGAGGTTTTGTCTCTCTCTCTTTCCACTTGAAGAAACTTTGCACGTAAAAATGAGTAAAAGAAATGGATATAGGGATGAATGAAAAAAAACAAAACAAAAGAAAAAAGACAAAAAAAGAAATGAAGTAAAAGAAGAAAAAGTAAATTAAAAGAGAAAAAAATTTGAAAGGTATACTGCTAGGAATTAGCTGATCTTTTTTTTTTCTTTTTAATACTTTGAAATTTTTTTTTTTAAATGCGTGGTTAGCATTGAAGCATGACACATTGTACGCAACTTATAAAGGGTTTTAATAACCATTTTAAATATCTGAAAATAACAGGGAGAGCAACTCTGTTTTTCTCCTTCTTTTTCTTCTTCTTTTTTTTAACTGTGTCTCTCTGTGTGTGTGTGTGCGTATCTCTGTTTCAAATAATATGTGCGATGAGAGTCCCAAGAGATTTACTGTTGGTTTCTCACTTTTTTTTTTTTTTTTTTAATTTTATTATTTTGGTTTTCATTTCTCTTCTCTTGACTTTATTATTATTATTATTATTATTTGTGTTGCTAATTCATTAACTGTTTGGTGGGGGAAAGGCGGGTTGTACAGGAGGTCGTAGTAAGAAATATATACACTCATTAGAAGAAAAAAGAAAAAAAAAAAGAAAAGAAAAAGAAAAAAAAAAAATGATACATTTCATTCTTCTTCAAAATCGTATGGGCAGAACACGACTTGCAAAGTTTTACGTCCCTTGTGATGATGCCGAACGTGAACGCACAAAACGAGAGGTGCATGCTCTTATAAATAGCCGTGATGCCCGTCTCTCTAACTTTGTTTCCTATGGATCGTTAAAACTTGTTTACCGCCGTTATGCAGGACTTTTCTTTTGTTTTGCTATTGAACAAGATGACAATGAACTTCTCTATTTAGAATTTATTCACCTTATGGTAGAGGTTCTTGATATGTTCTTTACTGATGTCTGTGAACTTGACCTTGTGTTTAACTTTCACAAGGTGTATTTGATCATTGATGAAATGATTCTAGCAGGAGAAATGGAAGAGGTTTCACGACCCGTTATTTTGGACCGACTCAAGATTCTTGATGTCACCAGTACGTGATAGAAGTGAAAGACAAAAGTAGATGTTAATGAGGATATTGTTAGTGAAAAAAAAAAAAAAGAAAATGAATGCGGGGGAAGGGTTGGCCCTTTTTTTTTGGCTTTATTTTTCACTCATAACGGAAAAATAAAGAATATGGAAACACGATGAGAAAAAGGGAAATTTCTTTCTTATCTGCCTATATATATATCTGTGTGTGTATGTTTTAGTTGCCTTCATTGTTGAGTTATGTAATGCCGTTTTTAACTCAACTACGTTTTGGGTGGTGTTCGTTGAGGATTCCGTGGAGGTGTGATGTGTGTCCTTGGCCACATTTTTACTCTTCAAGTGTTTCTCTTTATTCCTTTATATTATTATAATTATAATTATCATATTTCCTCTTTTCTTTTTTTTTTTTCCCCCATCTCGCCTTCTAAGAGTGTAGGAAACATCAGTCAGTGGGAAAAAAAAAGAAAAAAAAAACGGGAAATCACTATTTTCTTTTCAGACACATTTCTTTTTCTCTTTTTCTCTCTCTCTCTCTCCTATTTCCCTTACAACTCTCAATCTATCACACATACCCATACATATATATACATATATACATAAACAGACTGGAGGAGAAAAATGACAACGTGGCACCGCCTGCTTTTCCCGCTCGGACTACTGTTGCTCGCTCACAGTCTCTATAATGCCCACAGCCTGCGTGATCAACTGCAGGAACACCATCACAAACGTAATGCCGATGTCACCACCGGCGGGTACTTTCCCTTCATCTTCACTATGGCAGACAACACTGCTCATGTGAACGCCACTACGATTCCCATATTTATAGAACTTCTTGTAGGAATTGTATTCGCTATTGTTGGATATGTGAAGAGATTGTCCCTAAACCATGCACGGCTCATTGACAAGAACTGTGATGAGTGTTACGACAGCATCATGTACACAGGAGTGGGTTTCATGCACTTCAATCACCGTGGGGCGGTAAAGGGATCTCAGTCTGACGACGTTAAAAATGGACATTCCGTACCGCTAGAAAGTAAAAAAAGGGCTTAGTCCCTTGCTTTTTTTTTTTTAGGTATTTCCCTTTTTTCTCTCCTTTTTTTTTCTTTTCAGTTTTTTTTTTTTTCTTTTTGGTTTTTATTTCCTTACACTGCTTTTTAATTTGTGGTGTATTTTGTTTTGCATTTGACTTGTTTGTACCCATCTGAGTGGAATGTGGCTCTCGTTTGAAGATTTATCAAAGAGAGAATAGCAGGAATAATAATAAAAAAGAAAACATACAGAAGAGAAAAAAAAAAAAGGGGAGATAAAAAAGAGAAATATGAAAAGGAAAAGAGATCGCAAGAAAGAAAGTAATACTCAATAAATATGAAGAAGAGAGATGAAGAGGGGGCAAGAAAAAAAAAAAAAAAAACGAAAAAGAAAAAGGAAAGAATACAAACAAACAAAAGAAAGTATAAATAATATTATTACCTATGATTCTGTGCAACTGCTTAAATTACTGTTTCTTTTTTTTTTCTTCTTGGTACTAATGTTTCTTCCTCTTTTTTCTTGTTTTTTTTTTTTTGGATTAGTAAAAGATTCTGGGGTATTGGTCTCGGGTGGGGTGAATTTTATTTTATTTTTATCCCTCGTTTCTTTTATACATAACGAAGTAAAATAGGTCTTCGGTTGTAGCACTATCAAGAACTTGGCTACTGACCGACCATACAAATCTCTCTCTCTCTCTATACATACATATATATATATATATATATATATATATATAT